AGTACCTACTGTTATAAGGCCCCAAATAAATGCTTGTATTTAATGTGTACACATAGAGTAGTCTTGTTTAAAGAGAAAGGTAAAAGAAAAGAGATCAGTTCAAATCCCAGGTTTGCCCATATAAACCAAGACCCTCTCCACTGACATCACAGTGCCTATAGAGACAGTATATAAAGGTGGGAAGCTGGTGACACTTTGCTCCATTATGATCCAGGGTTTCTGCACGTATCTTCATATGGTTAATATTCAGATCTCAGATTATGACAGGTGTATTAGCATTAAAAAAATATACATTCAAATATACTCGTGTATCCATGAACGAGTATCTTTCCATTATGGCAGACAGTATCATCAACAAGATCCACTATGCAGATAAAAAAGTATCTTTTTGCCTTTGTCTCTTTAAGGCACTATTCTATTAGTGTGCCTCTGAGCTATTTATTCATCAGGAAAAAATGGGTAATAATTAGTGGAAAGCCACATATTTATACAAACACAATAAAGAAAAAAACAGTTTTAAACAGTTTCCATTCTATTGTATTCCATTCAACAGTTAAATTCTAGTCAGCTGACAGATGGTATAATGAAATTAAGATACAGACTCAATGGGAAGACTGAGAAAATGTTAAACATTGATATACACTTTACTGACTCATGATTCCTTCTTTGCTCATATACCCATGTAGTTTCAAGATTGCAGACTGGTACTTACATTATTGTAATAGTACCATGGGATTAAGACACCCTTCTGGCATTTGGGATTTTTGCTGGCATTGAAAGATTTTGTGGCAACTCAGATGAGAATATAACACAGTACTTACAATAAATTATGTCTGTAGTGGAAGGGACAGCTGTATCTGACCTGTATAATAATCATTGCGTGTATTTTCCTCTCTGGAATCTCTCTCATGAATCGATCAAGATACTTATTAACCTTTCACCTCCTTATTTATATTAAACTGATTAATAATTAAAACCATTTTAGAATATATATGCACATCAAAAAGACACTAACACAATTAATGTAACAATACTGATTTATAGCTTATTAATTTCGGCTTAATGAAACACATGTTGTCTCACACTTCAATCAACTCATGCTTGTTTTTCACTTACACATGTGGTTTTAGTTGTAAGTGGAATAAAGTGTTTTTGAGAAAGAAAAATACAAAAATTGCAATTAGAAAGTGGTTATGGATAACTTAGAATAGAGAATACACTACTAACATAGTCCAAAATAGAACTGGTCTGAACTTTAGCAGTTTATGAGTCTGATTTGATAAATCTTTCTGAAATGTGAAAGAAACACCACCTATGGACATGCATAAAAAATAATGACACCTAGATGATGCGCCCAATTCTTTTTAACTTTGCTGAAGGACAAATATCAATTGCCTGGCTGTCAAAAGCTTTTCAGCTCATTATTTCTACAGGATTTTCAGCCAAACTTGGTCAACTTAGTACAAGACCTTTTTGCTCAGATAAGTCTGTGCCAGCTTCTTCAAAACACATTTGCTACTTTTCTGTTTTCAGGGAAGCAGTGGGTGCACCAGCCTCTTACAGTCCCCACAGCTCTCACGTACCAAATATTATTAGAATCTTGATAGGACACTTCCAAGCTGATGATAGCTACACACGTCCTGCTCAGAACTGGTCAGAACAGAATAGTTTGAAGGTGGTTCACAAGTGAGCCATCTGACAGTCAAGGAGAAAAGCACTGCAAGGCAGCATAAGTGTGCAAGTCACAAGAAATGAGAACAAAGCTGGTGCAGGGAGCCATAGGATCGATCATAAATGATCTTCCCCAGCTCCAAAGGTAAAGGAAAGCATGACAGTGCTGTGTGCCACTAACCAGCCTCACTCTCCAGCTAAACGAAGCAAATACTGTTAGTGCGTAAGAGCCCATTGTAAGGATGTCCTCTAACAGAGAACACTTTGCAGTGTTAATTTATTTGGTATTACACATAATAGTATACTATATATACTTTTTCTTCTCTCCTCACAGCATGCACTGCATTGTAGTTTCCACCTCTGTATCTTGTTTTGATAGAGGTAGGGAAACATGTGTCATACCTACTACCCTAACCTAACTGAGGTGCTCTGATGGTTAAAACCAGATGGTAATAAACATTATCACTGTGGTTTCCTGATGTAGGGCTGGACAGGGTGCAGCTGAGAAGATGGGTGGGTTATTTAAGTTGGGTATCTGGAGGTTATCCAGCTGCCTGCATCAACAAAAGCTTGCCGTCAGTCACCGTATCATGACTGCTCTTCTCTTGCCTACTGGTGATCACCAAAAATTAGTGAAAAAATAGATACAGTGAGTATAATCATCTGTCCTCATAGAGCCATATAAATCTCTCCTGTTATTGAAACCAACAGGAGTTTCAAAAATACTTTCCAGCAGGGGCTAAATTATCAACAACTCTCATAAGCATCTACTAAAAAAGTTAAAATTCCATTTATTTGAAGACTTTGATAGTGGTAGCAATAAAAGTAACTAATTAACATTCTATAGGATATTTCCTATTTGATTGCTTGCTTAGTTGGGAAAAACAACTTTCTAACTTTGAGCCCTTTACATGGACCACTAACAGATTGCTTTGGACGTCAGCATGTAACACCACATTTGTTGCAGTTACCTTAATAAAACAGTTTGAATCCTAGAATATTATTTTGATTTTAGTTTAAAAGTATGATTTTGATTTAACATGAAGCTACAGTAGCTATGAGAATACTAAGTACACTGAGGCCCTTAGGATTAAGCAACTAGTATGCTGTGTGCCTTGAACACTATAACAATCATTATGGACTCTGAATTAACACAGTAGGTACTGGTTATGGATCTTGACTTGAAACAATAGGTACCAGAGGAAAACTGGTTTGGTTGGGAAGATCGGCCAAGGGAGAGGTGAACATTAACCAAAGTTGGAGTGAGCACGCGCAAGGATGGAGTTCAATCAGCCGACACAGTGAGGAAGACTATCGACGAGCACCAGAGGACCCCTGTCCAGTATAACCACACATGCGTTAGGGACATTTGCATATGATAATAATTTCCAGGAACTAACATGAATATGCTAATCATTGCCCTCCCCCCATTCTATTTAAATCAATCCGTAAAGATGACCAATGTTTTCTGTAAAATAGGAATATAGGTAAGGTGAGGTAACGGAAAGCCAATCATTATTAAGGTCAACTTAAACTTTATGAATTTTGTTGATCTTATGTAACCGTGACTCTGCTGAAAAAGTATATAAATATGTTGTGCTTTGTACCTGTCGACGAACACGTCTTTGGAGGAGCTATCCCCCCTGTTCCCCAGCACTGGAATAAAGAAGTGCCTGCTTATCTGCTGTGTGTAGATAAGTTCTATTCGCGATTGCGACCGCTAACACATTCAGACTTAAACTCTCATGAAAGGTATCTAGAATGCTCCCGTAATCACAGCGCCGATTCCTGTAATTTGCTGTAATTATATGAAGCAATTCTTTCCTTGTAATATCAGTCAGTAAATCTAAGATAAGAGCAAATCCTTTAATACTCCAACTCCAGTCACAGCAGCAGCTGTTTTGCCATGAGTACACCCCCTAGAAATAAACTAATAATCTACACCACCTCTGGCATCAATCACAGCATCAATCTTCATAGAGGAAAATGTGAAATTGCTTATAGCAAAGTGTCAGTTGAGCTGGAAAAATTCACTTCTAGGAATCCCACACTATAAATAAATAATACAGAGGGTGTAACCTGCAAATAACCTAATAGAAATACAATTGTCTTGAGATAATGCAGAAATGAGTACACCTTGGTAACAGTGAAAATGTGATTATCAGGATATAGAAATTCAACATCAAAAAGCATAAAATAATCTGCAGAAAGATCCCAAAGTGTTCCTGAAAGAGGTGTAACATTAAATACAATAGAAAAAAAAAAGGTGAAGACTTTTTTAATCTTGATATAGTTATACTAATTAAAAAAAAAAAAAAAGTAATTAAGAGTAGCACTTAGTAACAAGGAAAGCATTCTTTTCCAGTCAAAGCATAGTTCATTTAGTCACAATCAATGTATTCTTGTCAGGCAAATGAATGACTAATGGCTAAAAGATCTTACCAGCATTGCTGGAAACTACCAATTGCTACTTGGCCAAAAGCAAAACACCTGCTAGCTTTAAGTGAGACAAAATTTGTAGGGAGAGCTATTATTTTTTGTTAGAATAGCTTAGCTGAAAACAAACAAACAAACAAACAGCCACCAACAAAAACAACCACCCCCTAAACCCCCAGAAATTGAGTTCAATGAGATAATTTAATGTTTAGAGAGAGGTATTTGCTAGGGTCCAGATGAGGCTCTTAGCTGCTGTTGTGTGGATGAGTGTGCCCAATTATTGCCTGTAAAACAGTGAGAGACCCATAGGAAGTGGATGCAAGGTTAGCTGTACAGTATCAGAAAACCAGTATTTCTACCCAGTATGTGATTAATATCCAGTACTTTTTTTTTTTTTTTTTTTCCTAAAGCCTGTGGGATTTATTGTTCAGTTTTGGGAGGATGGATGGGGGGCTAGAAGGATGGGTTGGTAGCTGTTTGGTAGACCTAGCAAGCAAACAGAGAGAAAGAAAAAGATGTGAAGAGAAACTAAAATTGGGCTGCTCTGGCTTTGTATGACACTACTGAGAAAGAGGGTCTAATGTGTCTAATGTGCTCATAACTTTTCACACCAAATCCTAAAGAAATTATGACTCTTTTTGACATGATCTCATATCTCAAAAGGGGATTGTCACACTGCACAAGGAACTGTTTGCAAGGCAATTTGTTTGCTGACAAAAATGTCAGCATTTGTTGATGCTGACAACCCCATCAGCATCTATTGATGGAGTAAATTAAATGATATTTATTTACACTACTGTAAAAACTACATAGATGAAGACAGCTATTCTGAGCTGGAGAAATAAAAAATACATAAACTGCCAAGAAGTGGGAAAGAACAAATGCATACATACCGTGGACTACAGTTTGTGTCATGTTCCATGAGAATTTCTGAAGTTTGAAATCAGCCTGCCACAACACATCCAAGCTGTAATGAGTAAAATCAAGTAAGCAGAAGTGGCCGTTGAGAAAAAAAAAAAAAGTAGTAGCTATGAAATGCTAATTTCTCAGATAATATATAATTTATTATACAGTTAATAAGGTATCACTTAGCTGATTTTTCTTCTCCCATCATAAAGCAGTGTTTAATCAAAGTTCAGCTGTCCATATGCATAGCTATTAGCATATATTAATCAACTACAGTCGTTATAAAAACGACATTATCAAAGAACGCGCCCGCGGGGCGGCAGGCAGGAGCCCGGCAGCCTGAGGCCGGGCCGGCCCCCGCCACGCCAACATCCCACGGGGCGGTAGGTACCATCGTCTTCTCGGTGGGATCCTGGCACAGTTTGTTTCCTAAAGTGTGTGTCTGTAAATAGGTTTAACTCTGCAGCTTTTTTTAGTATTTTCATTTCGAGCTGCAACAGCAGCAGCTGGGTCTCCCCGGGAAGCACGGTCCAGGAAGCGGGAAAGGCTCACCTCGCTACTGCTGCAACGGGCAGCTGCCGCGAGCGGAATACGCGAGACTGATTTTTATCTCCTAGTTTTGCTGGTTAAAAACAAACAAACAAACAAACAAACAAAAAAACCACAGAAATTGTTTCTGCCTCGGTGTCTTTCCACTATGGCAGCCGAGGTGGTGCAGGCCAACACAGGGCCCGGGGGGAGCCGCGGCCGGGCTCATCGGGCGCGTCAGCCCTGAGGCCCGACTTCAGCCAGAGCGCCGGGGCGGTGGGTGGGGTGACGGGCCGGGACCCGGGACCCGGGACCCGCCACCGGTACCGACCACTGAGCCCTGCGGGCAGCGAGGGGGAGTGGGAGTGGGAGTGGAGGGGGGGGGGGGCCTGGGCGGGGATGGCGACCGGGAGAGCGGAGCCCCCGCTGCCGCGCCGAGGGGCGGGGCCAGGCGCGAGTCCCGGATGCACGCGGCGGCCGTGGCGGTGACGCCACCCGCCAGCCCCACCAATCCGAGGGCGCGGCGGTGGATTTTGAACGTCGGGCAACGGCGGTACCGCTCCGGTCCGGTCCGGTCCGCGAGGCCAAGCGCGCGGGGAGTCGTTCTCAGGCGAACCGGGACACGGACACGGACACGGACACGGACACGGACACGGACACGGACACGCCGGGCGGGAGCCGTCTGCTGTTGGGGCCTGTGGGCGGCTGGGCTCGGAGGCCTCGGCCCGGTCCTCGCCGCGGGCACCGTGTTCGCCGTTAAGATAACCAGCGACAGTGTCAGTGTCCCCGCTGAAAAAAATATTTTGAAAACGGCCACAGCTGTGTGTCTCTTCGCGTTTGTGGGTCTCTTCTGTGGGCGTATAGGCAACTTAAAAATACGTTAAGTTTTACTCTTGTTCCTCTGTTCCTTTTCTTTTGGTGCTGGGGAGCATTGTGCATCACCAGCTTAAAGAATTCTTCACCTTTTATATTTCTAAAGGTAGAAGATGGCTGAATACTTGAAAAAGCCTTTCAAAGACAGTCTGGATGATATAAAAGAACGAATGAAAGAAAAAAGAAATCAGAAATGGACAAGGTTGGGTAAAATTAGCCAGATCTCCACTGTAAAGTGCAAAATAGCAAGTAAGATGTTTAAATATCTTAATAGCTTTCCTATTTTTATTTTTAAATCAAGTTGAAATACTCACTCTCCTGTTGCAGCCAACAACTCCAAGCAAATGAAGAGCATCCAAGCAAACAACAAGGCTCTAGCTCAGGCTTTGCAAGAAGAAAAGCTCAAAGTGAAGGATGCCCAGGCTACCATCCTGCATTTAAGGAAAGAATATCAAGATCTGAAGGTTCAGATGTTTGACTTGCAAAGAAATCTTGGGCTCAAGCAAGCACAAGGACTCGTTGAGGTACCGTTAATAATGATTTTATGATATAGTGAAGCTGAACATCAGAATCTACACCAGTGTGTTGATATATTTATCATCTTAAATTTTTCATTAAAAAGTAACTCAAACAAGTCTATCCATATTTTTACCTAATCTGGTCATTAACTAAATGTTTATTTTTCTGGCTATTCTTTCTTCTTTAATTAAATTTCATATTCTGTGAAATTTTTTTTTTTTTATGAAGGTACCAACTACCAGTTATCTTTAGGATTTAGTCATCTCATAATACTGACAAGAAGTTACTGAATTGATAGCTGATACTAGTGTATGACAGTAACAGCATTGTTTTCTTTCTTCTGTTCATTAGAATCGACTGTTGGCCTTGAATGAGATAATTTCAAAAGTTTCTCAGAATTTACTGGACTCAATTAATCTCCTTGGCCCAGCAAAGAACCTGTGTTCCATGGGTGTAGTAAGTACCCTTTCCTCTTTAGGGGTAGAATTTCTGTTAATTATTCCCCTTACTCCTTCCAGCGTAGATGCACATAGTTTTGAGCCTTAGTTTGGAGGTACAACTAGTCCCACAATTCCCAGTATGACATGGGGTCCACACTGTGGGATGGTGCAGCAGGTTGTTAGTGGGACTGAAGCCCTGCTACAAGATGGTAGGGGCACCCTGACTTTCTGTGGTTTTGTGTTTTATTTCCTGTACCATCCTTACAGTTCCCTCCCCTGTCCACCATCTGTATGACTGGGCTGGTGATGGATGTGCTGACTTGCAGGAGCTGAGTATGTGAGATCCCACAGCATTTTGTGATAGCCAGAAAGGAAAAAAAAAAAGATTCAAGGGCTTCTTTGGCCCTTCTGTGGGTAACTCCTCTGTTGTCTAAAATTTGTATATGGTTCAAGCTTGTTTCTGCTATTTAGTCACAGTAAGACTTCTTTTGTTGACAGAATCAGAGCGTGCTTTCTTCAGTTCTTGAAAATAGTTCCAGTGTCTTAGGACAAATGTGTTCAGTGTAAGTAAATTTTATTAATGCCTACTTATATTTGAAAATTCTGTTACTGGAAGCTTAATTTTCTGACTGGAAAAAGGGAAGCATTCCAGTGTAATGAAGTAGTTCATTGTCATATTATTGCTATTCAGTAAATACTACCTTTGGTATTTTCTCTAGAAGACATCTACAGTGTGCTCATAGAGATGATCAAGTACTTCCAAGTGGGATGGAGGCTGATAGTGACAGAAATGAGCTGGCTCAGTCTCTGTCAGATATCTGTGAGGAATCTGACAATGCCATTTCCTTAATTGGAATAGTTCCAGACAAAGGTAACTAAATCAAAGTATCAGATGTCACTCTGTTCTAAATCAGGAAAAAAACATGTTAGTATAAGTTTAAAACATAATTACTGCTTTTGAAGTATCTGTCAAGTAATTTTCCACTTATTATTAAAAAGGGTAGATATTAATGTTGGCAAATGGTAAACAATTTGAATGAAAATGTCTAGCAAGATGGGGGACGAATTTGAAAGTGCTTTGTCTTCTATATACCTGCAATCTAGTTTCATTATATACCACACAGTTCAACAGAGTAAGGTCATCTTTAGTTCTGCATTATCATTTATGAAGTCAACAGTTGTTAACAAAGCAAAATACTCAGAAAAATAAATGACCTGTAGATAACCTTTCCAAACAGAACAGTTTAGAGGAAAATACTAATGTAGTATACTTAACTGCTTTCTGTCTGGAAGCTGTATTAAACAGAGTTTGTCTTGATTGCCAAATACTGGTTTATACAAATCTGCAGAGAAAATTCTAAGAATAGTCTTAATTTTTGACAGGTTCAGAATTTTCACAAAACCTTAATAGCTTGTTACTATTTAGTTTTAATATTACTTCTTCTCTTGAATTACAAGGACAAACATCTGATTTTCATCTGGACAACATAGGGTCAGTGCTGGAAAATGTTTCTTCAAGAGGAGAGGATGGATTTGGTAACGTGTTGCCAAAAAGCGTGTCTACCAGGCGTCGGTGTGCAAAGACGAGCGATCGCCACCATCTTTGCACTGGTGGCTTGGACCATTCAGAAGCACCTGGCTCAACAAAGGAACTTTCTAAACAGGATAAAATTAGACTTGAGGAAAGTCTAGAGAAGTGTACTGTAGAAAACATAAATTCAGGTATTTCTCAGTTGAATGAAAACAAGGTAGGCCCAGAGCTGGTGTTGAGGCAGACAGATTCTGAAACTGCACAGTTCAACTTAAACAAAAATTCTGTTCTTAAACAACGCGAGTATAAAAGTAGAGAAGATTCTCAATTGAGGAAAGAGAAGCATCGGAAGGGAAAACTGGAACGGCCTAAAACTAATTCCACGCAAAACCAAAAAAAAAGACAGGGTAAAGAGGCTTCCAAAGAAAAGTTGGATTTCTTGGGTGGCTCCAGTGATGCTTATGACTTCAATTTTGAAGAGAGTGTCCATGTTACACCTTTTCGACAAAATAAGGTGACTGACAGAGATACTGGTGTGGATGACAAAGACAACTTATCTGAAACCAGTAACTCTGAGTCAAGTGATATTGATGAAGATACAGATGATAGCCTCTATGAACCTTACAAGAGTAAACCAAAAAAAAGGAAAAGTTTAGCGGACCAGATAGATACCTCACCAGTCCATGTAAGGCCAAGGTCTAAAAGATGTCTGGCACAGCGTGAGCAGAAACCCAATAATCAAAAAGAAACTGAAAGCAACAAATCGAGTGACAAATCTATCAGTAAGTATAGAAAGTGTTCTGTAACTGGTTTTGTTTCCTTGAGAGATAAAATTTAAGGGGTTTAGATTTTTTTTTTTTTAGTTTTTTTTAATAAATACAAACAGAATAATGTGTTAAAAAAAAAAATCATTAGATTAATTCTTCTGGCTGCCTTTCCCCCCCCCCCCCCCCCCAGCAGAAACTGGAATTAAAGATATGTTTTGTTTAAGCAATTGGTCAACAATGAATTAATACTGTATTTTAGATGTGTTTAATGAGGTATTGAAGCTGAGGAAAAAGGAGAATAAGAGTGTAAATTGGAGAGAAGTGGAATAACAAATCGCACTTTGCCTGGCACTGCCTAGTGTCAATTTATTTTTCCAAATTAAAATCCTGAATATTTGTTGATCTCCTTATGTGTTCTTAAGTGGAAAGATGAAGATAATAGTTATAGCTGAGAGTTACTACTTCACATTTAGTATGTTTGTTGACATTCTCTTTTAAGCTAGTTTGCCTGAATTGTCTTAAGTGTGCCTAATTACTTCCCAGGGCAGCCTTCTGAGCCACCTCGTGTTCATCTTTGTGATGTTACCAACACCACTTCATTGCTCCCCAGCACTGGGAATACAGCTGTTGTCCCAGAAAGTGAAGCACCACGATCTCCAAAGCGCAAGCGAAGCTGTACTCTTACTGTGAGCTATAAAGAACCAAGTATTACAGGGTTGGTGTCTTTCTAGTTTGATACAAAGTTCATGATATTCCATCAAATGGAGGATTTGAGGGGATTATTTAAATATTTGAAATAAGTTCCTAACAAAACATTCAAAGAGAGAGAGGTCTGATGTTAGTAATATTAAATAGTTCATGTGAAATTGAATTTACTAGCTGAAACTTAATGTTTTAAGTGATGTGGGGAACAAAACTCAATTTTGCCTTTTATTGTTTTTTTGTTTTGTTTTTTTTTTTAAACAGGAAACTCAGGAGAGGAGATCCATTTACAGATACAAATTTTCTGAATTCTCCGATTTTCAAGCAGAAGAAAAATGCTAAGCACCGTTCTCTTAAGGAAGAATCTCTGTCAAAATACAACGAGAAATTTGTTGGTTGTCGTTGATATTTCCAGTCATGATAGCAAAATCCAGCTCGTTCCATGAAGAAAGGAAATCTTTCATCCAGGAAATTATTGTTGTACAGTATCTTAAACAAATATACGATTGTTTCTGTGTTTCTATTAAGGGGTTTTGGTTTTAACCCAGTGACTTGTTTTTAATGATACAGAAGACAAAAGACTACTTTCCTAGGTAAGGCAATTCCATTCCAATCCTTGAGCAGAGGCATCCCTGTATTGTGGATCTGTGAGTATATCGGAAACGGTGAATGTGATTTTATGACTTACACCCTGCTTGATCTCACAGTGGTAGGCAAAGGTGAATTTCAGGCACTCAAGGTCAATTGTTTTTGTGTTTTTTAATAACAGTGTCTGTACAGATCTTGTTTATATAGTGGTTGTAGTTTCATATTGAAGCTCATTTTACACGGTTTTCATAGTTGCTTCAAGGGAAGCAAGGTCAGCATGCTGCAAGCCAGGGTACTCCTGCCGCATCTTCTGTGGCATAAGCATTGTATAGAAGCAAGATTGCCAGTTGTAATTTGATTATGTAGCTGGAGCTGTCAAAAGCAGCAATTTAGGGTTGGTTGGTACTGCCATGAATGCAAGTTATAATCAAATTTGCTTTGTTCCTATCTGGGTAGCTGTGAAAGTTGGTGAAGAGCGCTCTGCTTTGGTGGAGTGTAAACTAAACTGCTAATATGGGACTTCATAATTTTAGCTCTGCCTTGCTGACTCAATTTATGAAACCATTTGGTACCACAACAGGCAGTCTGCTAGGACACCACTGTTATAAATTGTCCAGCAAGACTTTAAGGTTGCAGAGCACTCAAACTAGCTTTTCTTCGCTTAAGAAATATTTAAGAGGCATTAGCAGATATATGAATACAAAGAAGAAAGCTACATTCAAAATAAACAATGGGAAAGTTCTTAATTTGTCTTGAAAGATTGCTCATCTCACCTGTCTCACTTCAATAGGTGTAAGATCTCTCCCCTTCTGTAATAAAAATGTGTAGTGCTAATTACTGTTTTACTGGTAACTTTTTACATGACTTTCAACAGTAATAATAAAAGCTGCAGCTACTGACTGTTTGAAAATATTTGTTGACAACACAGCCTGTGGTTGTTGAACTCAAACTTTAACCTTCTGTTTGTATCCTAAAATTCTAGCTCTGGGCATCACCATGCTCATTCTGAAACTCCTGAGTACTACAGGAACTTAAGCAGAATGATTTAACTTCAGGTGTTCTTTTTCTTTCAGCAAACAAACCTCTAACAGCTGTTTATCAGGGACAGAAAAAGAACAGTGTGATAGCAGAGCAGCCCAAGGCAGGTGTGGTAGGTCTGGGGTTCTTCTGGATTGAGTAAACTTTAAGATTTGCCACAGTTCCTTCACAACTGTGCGAGTGAGTCCGAGTCTAGTTCACCTAATCTCAGCTGATATTCCTAGAAGTGTCCAGGAAAACAAGTAAGCCTCTTTTGACTATTATTTGCTACCTGCTGGGCAGTACATTTTTATGTGATGTGGCACAGGACTAAATCTCAGTGGATTGGAGGGGGGGGGAACAAAAAGAAAAAACCACAAATCTCTTCATACTCTCTAACTGTCAGGTATTAGGTGCAGGGTTTGTTTAGGGTTAGCTTGCTTGTTTATGCAAACTAACTGTCCAAGGAAGTAACATCAGTGATAGTAGGCAAGTACAAGCTCAACGTGGACTGCCGTTTGCTCCTATGTACACTGTGTCTTGTGAATGAAGGACTAGTAGACAAAAAAAGATGAAACAGCATGAGCATGCTCTGAGGTGGAAAATCAAAACTTTTGAACAGCTCAGTCAAAGAATTGTTTGAGATATTGAGAAGATGGGAGTAACAGCACTGTAGTGCAGTATGGGTCTGGGAATGCTACTTGGAATGGTCAGAGCTTTCCATACTGACTTCCCAGCTCAGCTTAGCACACCACGCTCCTATTGAACTTGGCATCTTTTTTTCCTATTTTCTAGTGTACCTGGAAGATGCACTGACTGCACTCCTGTAGATGCACTCTTTCAGTTGTGAAGCTGCTTCCGTGTGTGTATTTGTAGTGCAAGAACTAATGAAAAAAGAGACCAAAATAAGTAGGGTTTTGTACATATATAATTTAAAACTATTCTGTACTAGTACAATATATTAATTTTACAAATGTAAAGTTCATCAGCTGTTAAAGCATTTGCAAAACCACATATCCTACTGTAACTTTATTGCACAGTATCTATGAAAATATTAATTCTTAAATTAGAAAACAAATGTTTCAATATAGAAGAGACAATCTGATTGAAAGATGATAAGAAAATCTACTCTGAAAATAACAAAGTTTCACAGGATACCAAGCTTAACAGGTGCATCTGTAGGCCCAACCTACAAAACAGGATTATAGCATCCAGTACTGGCTATTCAGAAAAAAAAAATACTCACTGTACCTTTGTTACAGATCCAAATGTAGGTCAGACTAATCTCATACAAAACACTATGGCAAGTCTAGTGTTAACATTTTTAATACCTTGTGTACCACATTTACTACTTCCAGGTAGTTCCTGACATCTACTTGCTGAATCGACTTGTGAATTAACATTGCACAGGCATTTTGCAGGAATATGTTCTTTGACACAGCACAGGATTGGGTTTTTTTCAGTCTTATAAACTATTGAATTTTACCAGTGTAACATCTGTAAATATAAAACACCAAGAGTGAAAGTTTAAATCTGTTTTTCACAAAAGCAATTATAATTTACAGTTACAAACTCTAATTAGAAAATGTCAGTTGATAACTTTTTGGCCTGTACTGATCTCCATTAGAAATTTAGGTGTACCTTGTAAATGTAGTGTAAGCAGCAAAATATATATATAATATATATAAATGCTCTATTTGAAGATATTAATGAGTTGTAAAATGTTAATATGTTCCTGGGTCTAAGTAATCACAGTTAATAAGCATTTACAATAACGCTTGGTAGAAAATCCAGTTTACCACAGAGCCAAGTACATAAGCTAGAAGCTGTCATATGTTGACTTCTCTTGTGTACAGTAGACTTATCTCTGCTGAATAATCCAAAGAATTTTATCAGTGAAGAGTAGTAAAGAGAGTGGATCGTGAAGTGCATCAAAACCTTAACTCTACTAGGTCAACTGAAATTGTCTAGTATATGCGAATCAGATTCTCTGAAGTTATTTTGGATACTTATGTCCTGCATAAGCCAAGTCACTATGGCATTACACATCTAGCCAGATACTTCTTTTTAAATAGTGGTTATGAGATTAAAATTTGCAGGTAAGATATTTATCAAAACCCAAAAATAATAGAAAAACTTGCATCTATCAAAGATTACAGGCAGTCCTTTTTCAGAACTGGCTGCTCTTCTCTCACAGCTTCTCAACCAGCTGAGTGTTTCTTTTAAAAAATAATATCTTATAAAAAGATTCTACAAAGAAACAAGTGTTTCAGAACCCCCCCAACTGTTGTTTTCCCTTACTATTTTCTTTTTTTTACTGGAAAAGAAATAATAAAACTTTATCAAATAGGTACTGCATTAGGTAAGCTATTACATCTGTTGTCTGGGAATTTTCTTCATATTCCCAAACTTGTGCAATTTCCCACACGTTTTGTGGGGTTTGAGGCTGTAGCTGATAAACTTATGAACATATGTTAATGGGCATACTAAAGAAATTTTCTGTAATTAAATACATTATAAAGCATTTTAATAAAATAATTTTTGTAACTTCAGTATAATACATGTTTGCAAAACTAAAAGGGTTTTTGAAAGTGCTAAGTATTAAACAGATGTTTCTTGAAACCTTGAAGTCCCACAACTCAGATAGATAACAGCTTCCCCTACCCAGGAAGTAGGCACACTATTTGGTTGTAAAAAAGACCGTGTCACTTGTCAATTAATCCAGCTTCTTTAATTTTTGTGTAGAAGAATTTCTCCAGTATATTGGCACATTTGTAGTATTCACTCTCGGGGGGGTTGTACTCTCTGCAATTTGTAAAGACTCGCTGCAAGTCTGCCATGAATAATTTCTTAGACACGTAGTACCTATTCTTGAGTCGTTCACTCATTGTTTTGAGATCTGTACAGAAGAAAAATAGATTAACAGCGTTTGATTCTAATACTTTCTGTATGCAATATCCCTTTAGACTGATTTGCCATTTAACATGAATTGATAAAGCTAGGACTTGGAAGTCCCTTCAAGAGCAATTGAGGCCCTGGAACTAAGCAATACTTCACTGTAGGAATGACTGTGTAGAGTTTATTTTTTGTTCTTTAAAAGATTGAAGCAGCATTGTTTTGTGTTCTCATACTTCTCTGAGTTTTCAGTGGGAATTAGGTGTCCCTAACAGCTCTGTGAGGCAAAACTGTTGTCAGCTCTGCTGGAGGAGACCTTAGGAGTGTGTAAGCAAATAATTCAAACTTCACAAAATATGTATGTTAACCTAAATCCTCACTTTTGTTGGAACACAGCAGAGAAGACATCTGTCTATACTACAAGCAGTACTCGGAGCTTTGAAAAAAGACTAAAGTTGTTCTATGCTCTAAATATATTTTAATTAAAACTTCAAAGTTTATGGTTATGTATCCCTTTAAGTCACAGGAGAACAGATCTCTTCTGCTTTTAGTACATCGTACAAAACCTTTACTTAGAGACATTTTCTAAGAAATGTTTTCCTTTATACTAAATCAGTTATCTGTAAAATGTCAATCTTCTCAGTGTTCTCCACACAGTCACTTTCCCAGTAGTTCTTATCAGGCATTTAAAAATTTTGTCTACATTACAAGTGTTCTAGGAGTGAGTACAGGAATAGAGGTTGTGAGCGGTGTACTGGATGCCTTGTCTTTTTTCATCTCAGAGGCTCTATTTTTTTAGCAATGCTTGAGCCAGGCTTCAGCGAAACTGTAACAGAAACAGCTGAAATGGAGACAATTTACTGCCAACAAGTACTGCAAGGAAAGCGGAGATCAAAGACCTCCAATGCAAAGGAATTAAACCTTAAAACTTAGGATTTAAAAATACAATTGTGGGTATTTTTTGTTTGGTTTGTTTTTTTTTTTTTTTTTTGGTTGGGGGGTGGTTTTGTCTTGTTTTTTTGTTTGCTTTGGTTTTGTTAAGGGAGATTTGACTTTGGTAAAACAGAAAAATCCTGCCAAATTGAAAGAGGGGATTATTTAAGACAAGTTTGTTGGATGCTCTCAAATACCTCTTCCAATACTATGTAACTTGCCCTTCACTAGTGTTGCACAATATTTTACAAAAGCAAAGGCTCATTCAGTTCCCCTTAAGTCTGAAATGTAGGTGCCTGCATCTAAACTAAATAGCCATAGCCTGTTTATAGTAATCAACTGCAAAGTCTGTTGAGCTCCCCCTAAAGCCAACATTGTCTGGCTGCTCTGTTAATCTGTTCTCTTAACTACAGTGAAAGTTTGGCTCCATCTGTCACTCAGCCATACAGCTTTTGTACTGCAGATGAAACGAAAAAAAAAACCAGACTCTTTATTAAAAATAAGCAGCTGAAAGGGCACTTAAACAGGTGTTTATACATGAAAACTGACCTTAGGAGGTAGTCAAAAAAACCCTACAGTCCTACCTCTCAAATATTGTACAGTTTAGTCTGTATGCAAACAAAGACAAATGTTACATGTTGTACATGATAGCATAAGAAAAAACAATACTGTTTCTTTTTAATTGAAATTATGTCTGAATAATTTTTGTACAGTACCAGCATGCCAGCAATGAGAGCAGAAAGAAAGCAGAAGTTGGTTACGCATCAAAACACATTTTAGTTGTGCTGGATTCCTCAGCTGAAAAAACAAAGCAAAACTAAACTAACAGACCTCAGCTTGATCCTAAAATGAGAGCTGCTGCCCCCACCTCCAATGTAATACATCCAGAGGAGGAAACGACAGACAACATTCCTACTTTGGGTTTGCCAACCCAGGCACGGAGGTTTTTGTAACCACTGTTCAGATTAAACAGCCATCTAGATCTAGCCTCTGCTCAGAAAAGCAGATGGAGAAAACTCTGCCCTAGGATGGTGTCAACACTTTTTATTCATTGCTAGAAAATATGTTTGTGTTGGGGATATTGGAAGCCAGCTGCTGTTTTAT